AAATACATTTCCTCAAAGGTATTTTTAATCTGAAAAGAGCTTCACTCAGTGAGAACTAATGTTGAGAGCTCAGCAGACGGTTAGGTTTCACTTTCACCCGAGAGCCTGCAGGAGTCATGGGCAGGGTGTGTGGGGTGGGGGGGAGGTGGTGCGCTCTGCAATGAGGAAGTTCGGCTTAAAGACACGTCCCAGGGGCGTTTCTGGTCCCCACCTGTCGTTTTGCTCCTCAGCATGGCTGCCTAAAAACACTGCAGGATTTCTCAAACATGCATGAATGAGTCAAAGCAAGGCTTTGGACATGTTTTTTTTTTATGAGAGTATAACADTATAACATGATATAAAACTCAAAAAAGTTTATTTTCTATGATATTGCCTCTTTTTAATAAAGTGCATCATACTATAGCCATAACACAGATAGTGATTTAAAAGTTGACTATGTTTCCCCATTGTGACTTTAAACTTCAAGTTAATAACGTGGATCATTAACAGAAAAAAATGCAGCTGGTCAATTCCTTTCTAATCTACCAGCTGGAAATCCTCAGAGGATGGCAGTTCTTTAATATGTATTTTTTTATAATTTGTAGTCCATATTATATGCTACTCTGTCATGTTTTAAAGTAGGTTTAGTCATCTAGTCATTAGTCACTTAGAAACTCAAGAAGGGGAACAGATGGAGGTGTGATGAAAGCTTCTGCATTATAATTTTAATACCCGCTGCTGCATTTCCATGCTCTTATTAATGACAGTGCTCTTTGTTTTCATCATCACACTTTGATGCATCTGTGTGTTGTGATCACAAGGACCAGTAATTATCTGCATTACTTGAGCTCAACTCCTTCTGAAAAATGGTTCTTCTTAAAATTTAATTTAAAAGTCAAAAGAGCCCCCCCATATTGTGAGTTCATTAATCTAAAGCTCAGCTTTACATAAATATATGTGCCTCAGTAGTTCGAGAGGTGAGCTACGCCTTTTTGAAAGTCTAAACTTGTAAGTTATGAGGCTGATAAGATTACAAGGGAGGGCAGAGAATCTCCTGTTTCTTACATTAATTGGACCACAGTTTTTCCTGCTGGGACAGCCAATATACCCTTGYTTCAGCCATATGGTCCCTCAGCCTCAGTCACAGAGTATAGCTGTTGTCATCAGTCTCACACTCATTTTCAGAAAGGAGCTAAACAGTGTTTAACATGCTGTGTACTTCACTTCTAGATAAATACACAAAGTGTCTTTGGTAGTTCATGACTCAGTGCCGTGTATGGTCAGAGAAGCCAGTGAACTGAGCTTCACAGCAGACTAATCCTGYAGAGACATTTATCCAAATTATCAATATGCTGGCATCCCTAAATGACTGCATCAAAAAACAAGAACTACTTCTGATAGAAGTTCTAAGCTCAAAATAGGGGGTAAAAATGTGATAGATTATTAAAAAGTGCACAGTTTAACAGCTGCAAGCATAGTTTCATTAAATCCCCCATTTATTTTCTTTACCTGCTTCTTCTCTCTGTGTTGTGGGAAGCTGGTGCCTATCTTTAGCGATCTCTGTGCGAGAGGCGGCATGCAGCCTGGACAGGTCACAAGTCCATAACAGGCCACATAAGACTCTTTCACAAGACACCTCAGGCTGGGTCTTAGATGCTATCTGGTCACCTCAGTGTGACTTCTGAATGAATCATGGAGGCGGGGGCAGTTAAAGCCAACTCATCCCAGACATGTCTTTGTGCCATAAAACGAGGTAGTAACAGAGCAGAAATGGTCAACATGTGAAGCTGTAAGCCAGTACCGCATCTCAATARTGTGATAAAGTGATCATGTATGATGATGACTTGTGTGTTGCAATATTAAACATCCACAAATAGATCTGTTAGCAAGGGAAAATTAATGATATCACACAGCAACTTTGTATGTAGTTTCAAAAATTAGTTACCCACAAAGGCAGTGTACCACACATAAAGTACCACAAAGTGATACTTRAGTAAAAGTACAAGTATCTTACCAAAAAATTGCTTTGCTAAAGGTTAAAGTCTCCTTATATTTTTTGTACTTAAGTATTAAAAGTAAAAATATGGATTAAAAATGAGCTGTTAGATTTTCCATAATTATATTTATTAGGAGGTGACCTCTCTAAAAATGCAGAAATGACTGTCACATTAAAAGATGTTTAATTTATGTTAAATTTAGGATGCACTAGTTTAACTGTTTCAGTTTATATACATATAACAAAGGTGCCCAAAGCTTTTCTCCAAAATGAATATCTGTCCGAGGGCTGTGGCCAAATGCAGTAATATAATTCATGAAATGCAAATCCTTCTTAAGTACAGTCCTTTTATTTTAATAATTRTGTCCTGCTGGAGTGTGACATGATTTGTTCGTGTACAAACTAATATGTTATCAGAATGTTGTACATTTATACTTCTCATTCGACCACAATTAAAATTACTCTATATAAGGAGGCACAATTTATATGGAWAGTATTTATTTTTTACAGTAACAAGCTGGAATGAAAACAAGCAAAAATGAAATAAAAAAAATGACTTTCTACTTCTTGCCTTTTTTAAAAATGTAAGGAGTAGAAAGTACAGATAATTGTGTGAAAATGTAAGAAGTAGAAGTAAAAAGTAGRCTGAAAAATAATTAAAAATTCTACTTAAATACAGTAACAAAGTATTTGTACTACTTTACAACTCTGCACAAAGAGGATCACATACTAAATCATATTTTGAAAACAATAGGAGGGAGATGTTCATCACACATTTGTGTTGCTTTTCCCTTTTTGTTCTGAGATCCTAGCTCCATTTTGGAAAAGTATTTTCTTTGTCAGACGTGTTTAGCTCCACCTGCAATCATAAACAGTCAGAGAAAGTGTAAAGATAGACTGGTCTGTGCTGCCATTTTGCCAAAAAAGATAACCATTCACACTCTCACCTACAGCTACAGGTACAATTCAGAGAATTACCCCAACATGAATGTTAGGATACCCAGAGAAAACCCACACAGGCACAAAGAAAACATGAAAACTCCACCCTGAAAGGCTCCAAGCCGAGAAGCAATCATGCACCTCTGTTCTGGCCGCAGAGATTCATGTTTTGATCTTAAAGATTTTCAACATTAAAATTTGTTTTCCTGTTTAAACATCTGGCAGAATATTTGAGCAAAAAATCAATAAACCTGAAACCCCACCCGGCTCGTTTAATGAGCGTTGGGTGGATATTAAAACATTAAAGTGCTTTACTGCTAACATTTTTAGTATCTGCCAAAGCAGCCACATAAGTTAATTTTACATCAGAAAGCCCTGTGGGGACTGTCCACTTAATATCCTCTTTTCTCTTGGCTTTTTGTCTTTTTTTTTTTTACTTAACAAGAAAACATTTGTGTTTACAGAAAGTTGTCAAAATGTA